GACAAGCATACCTGCCGGGTGGATATACGATATGCAAGGCGGCCATGGGTGCTTATGCTCAGCTGGCTAGAGGTATGAGTACACCGCTCAACCTGCGGTGATGATTGCGACTCACAATCCCTCCTTCACAGGCTACCGATTCACTGACGGCTGCATACATCAAGCATGCTGTAACACACCCTCAATGTCCCTACCGATTGGAGGTGAGGGTACTTGTTGAAGTGCTGTAGGCCACCTCCTCTCGATCAACGGGGGCTTTGATCGACCATGAGATAGGACAGAAAGTAGAATTTGAGCAAGCTCCGTGAACTCCAATGATGTCTCATGAACGGGAGCACATAGCAGAGTCCTGCCGATTGAATGCAAAGTCATGGCCTCGCTCAAATCGTCGGTGTTCCGTAGAGAGGTGTATAATTTTGGCCTCTATTTGAGTTTGAGGGATGATCATCTTCGGCGTTGCTTGCTTGGAGGAATGCCATTAGATCGAAGAGCAAGGATGCGCAGAGCGTGTTCTCTCACCTGCCCACGTTGTAGAGACTCCCATCCAATATGCAGAGGTACGTCAATTTACTCAATCGTTACAGCTGCAGGCTCGGTAGAGATTGAGGCCGCTCTCTAAAGATTATGTGATGAGGAGGCAGAGCCTGCACGTTCCACGCTTAGTTTACGAAGGCGTAGCTATGATGGCACAAGTTTGGTGGACAAGCACTGCATACAGTACAGTATGACCGGAGCACTTCCCAGCGGTACGCTAGAGCGGGGACTGCGCGGTGATGAGCTCGGAGACGGAGATGGTGAGGACGACTAGTGCAGTAGCGTACAAGGTCAACGCGAGGCGACGCGGCGACGGCGAAGCCAACCGGCAAACTAGCGGAGGCGGGCCGACGGGGCCGGTGAGCAGTCCCACTTATTAGGGCCTGGTCGGCTGGCAGTGATCAAGAGATCACTAGTGATCGTGACCGGTGGCTCCCACTGGAAAACTCGAGCAAGCGCTCACTCTCCTCTTCTAAGCGCTCGCTTTCCCCCCTCTAAGCGCTCACTAGTGAGCCTTTTTTGGCAGGAGTGATCAGTTGATCGCTGCCAGCCGACCAGGCCCTTAGACGCCTGTCGATCAGGGCGTTCGAATCGAAAACATCCCCGCCAGGAAGCGTCCATCGACGGTCACTGAAGGCGCCTGGCACGGCTCTCCCCCGGGTCCCTCTGCCTTCAACTCCACTACGTGTCTCTCGCAGGGAGTACGTACAAAGGTGCGCAGGATGCCAGGACCTGCTCACTCAGCTTATCGAACGGCGCGCCCTAGAGAGTAGCTTGAGAAGTCCACGAACTCCAGACATGAGTGCCCTCACGCTCCCGAGTCGCTCCATGGAAATTTGCCCGCCTCTACTTACCTCTCCGGCGTAGGCGGAGGTACGGACCAGCGGGTGAACTGTTCCGCAAAATTGAGCGCAGCGTCATCTGCACAATGTCCCTGCGCCACCACGGTTGACTCGAGTCTCGAAGCTGCAACGCTAAAGTACGCTACCGCTGTCTTCCAGGTCAGACATTCGCAGAACATATGACCATCGCGGTTTTCCAGCAACTGATAGATAACTGCTCATCACCCCTGTCGACCGACTCATGGACTCACTCCCCAATGTTTTGCTGTCCTCGAGACCTCACGGCGGCGTCGCGACGCTCATAGGGCGCGCTCCCGACCCCGCTACGGAACTATCTTCCGCCACGCTGTGATCGTGAGTCCCCCGCTTCTGCCTCTCTGCTCGCTGCTGATCTGGGGCCCCACCCCCGTCGTGTAAATTGTCTTCCGGAAAGACGGTCCGGGGATGCTTCTACCTTCGATGACGGCGCGCGAAGGGGCAGAACCGTGATCACAAGACACTTGCGACGCGAATCTGCTGCCTATGGAGTTGGCCATGAGCGGCAGCGACGAGCTCGGCAGAGGGATTTGCCTTCCAGGATCCTTCCCGCCCTCTTCACTCTTTGACAATCCCCCCCGACCGCTCGACATCTCGATCGCTCGACGGCGCGATATAAATCGACCAGACCGAGCTTCACACTCTCGTGCTCTCCTCTGGGTACTCATCTCTCCTGCTTGTCACCTCTTCCGAGTCGAGCGGCAGACCAGCGCAAGATGTCCAAGCTTGCAGGGAGAAAGCTGTATTATACCATCAACGCCGTCGCAGGACTGGCGATCTTCTTGTACGTCCTCAATCCTCCTATTCCCTCTATCGCGTGCTCACAACGTACAGCTTTGGCTATGACCAGGGCATGATGGGAGGCACGTCCACATGTTCATTCGCGTTTGTCGGCTATTTTGTTGACATCATATGTAGGTGTTAACACCTCCCCCGACTACGTTCGGGTCATGAAGTTAGGATATTCCAAGTACGTTCTGCCCCGATATTGCGTCTGTCTATGTTCGCTGAACATGCATCTTCTGTAGGTACGAAGGTCCCTCAGAGGGCTATGTGGCAACTATCACGGAGCCCACCCGGCAGGGTGGGATTGTCTGCATCTACTACCTCGGGACGCTCCTTGGCTGCCTCATGGGAGGTGTGCTCGGAGATAGGTGCGCCCTGCGTTTCATTTCAGTTGTAGAGCCCTCGCTCACACTCCGCGCCGCAGGATTGGACGTATCAAGACTATGATTCTCGGCAGCATTTGGGTACTCTTTGGTGCAGCGCTACAATGCTCGGCTCAGAACATCGCATGGTGCGTGTCCCCCGCCGGTTCGGTCTGCCTCCGACTGACGTTGGGGCAGGATGTGCTGCGCTCGCATCATTAACGGCATCGGCACTGGCTACTTGAACGCCATTGTCCCCGTCTGGAGCGCGGAAGTGGCGACCCACACTTCCAGGGGCGCTTTCATCGCTAGCGAATTCACACTCAATATCTTCGGCGTCGTCGTGGCCTATTGGCTGGAGTTCGGGCTGGGCTTCATTGGGGATGGCACGTCCCAAGTGCGGTGGAGGGTACGTAATACAAGTCACAGTAAACTCTACGGCGAACGCGACTTAACCCCCTCGGCGAATTTCCAGTTCCCGATTGCCTTCCAGATTCTCCCGGTGCTCGCGTTCATGGTGCGTTCCATTCAGTGCATGACGTATGCTGCTACTCACGGTCCAACTTTACGCAGGCCTGCCTTCCTGTGATGCCGGGTATGTATCGAAGTACCCCTTCGAAACTTTGCATTTGGTGCTGACCGGCACGCAGAGTCACCCCGGTGGCTCATCAAAATGGGCCGCAACGCAGAGGCGCGCGAAATTCTCGGCCGTCTGCGCTCCGAGGACGGCAACATTGAGGCGCCTCAGGCCGTGCGCGAGTACGAGGACATCATCGAGACGGTCGCTCTCGAGAAGGAGCATGCGAGCCGCAATTCGTACCTGTCGATGTTCTTCGGACGGAACGATGGCGGCCTCCACATCGCACGTCGTGTGCAGTTGTCTATCTGGCTGCAGATCGTCCAGGAGTGCGTGTGCATCCTGACCTCTCATCACGCATCGTTACTGACCGAGTCAAACTTGACAGGTGGGTTGGTATCGCGGCTATCACGGTCTATGCCCCGACGATCTTCGCGGAAGCTGGCTACGGCGCTCGCAAGTCTCAATGGCTGTCCGGCCTGAACGATGTACGTACCCATCTGAATACTCGCATGTCGCCAAACACGTCTCCTGACTATCGTCCTCCCCCGCCATATCACAGATTACGTACATGTTGAGTACTCTACTCGCGGTCGTCACCATCGACCGCCTCGGCCGTCGCATTGGCCTCTGGTGGGGCGCAGTTGGCCAGGGCATCTCCCTCATCCTGGCCGGCGCGTTTGCTCGCCTGCTCAAGGATCACCCCGAGAAGTCGACCCAGTATGGTGGTGCTGCGGCGCTCTTCGTGTTCATGTACACGGCTATCTTCGGCGCGACGTGGCTCACCATCCCCTGGGTGTACCCGACCGAGACTTTCCCGCTCGAGGTCCGTGCGAAGGGCAACGCGTTCGGCGTCGTTGGCTGGTCGATCGGTGCGTAGTAGCGATTGACTCTTCGCACCCGCGCTTCCCTGCTTACCCGCGTGCGTCTGTAGGGAACGGCTGGCTCACGCTCCTCAACCCGGTCATGTTCAACCGCATCGGCGAGAACACGCTGCACGTCTTTGGCGCGATCAACTTCCTCAGCATCCCGCTCGTGTGGGCGTTCTACCCCGAGACCGCGAACCGCACGCTCGAGGAGATGGACTACCTGTTCATGAGCAAGAACCCGTTCGTGTGGGACGAGGAGGAGAACTTCCGCCGCATGAAGGAGCAGGCCGAGCAGGCGCGCCTCGAGGGCAAGACCGCCGCCACCGCCGGGCTCCCGGCGACACCCGCGGAAGAGGTGGAGGACATCAAGGAGGAGAAGCAGTGAGCTGTTCGAGCTGTTGGGAGGCGGGTGGGGGTGTACGACCATCGCGCGCCCGGAGCGAGTGCATTGTAGACTATAGAGCCAGCGTCCGTGCTTGGTCGTGTGTCGCAGCTTGTTCTCGTGTATCGATTGCTTGGGTAGATCCTTGACGCATAGAAGGAACTTCTTGTATCTCAGAGGACTGCGAGAAGGACTGCTCTATCTGCAAGCGCCGTTCGACCGACAGAGGCTCTGGGCAGTGCAGCGCAGCCATACAGTATACAGCCCGTATATGCGAGCACTATGAAGTGTCACTCTCCCTGGCCGACCTCACGCGACAGCTGACTTGGGATCATCGCATGATGCGGACGTTGTGCGGACGTGTACGAAAAAACGGCAAAATAAATATTGAGACCCGTAGGTCTACCACTCCGGGAAAGCGTGTCATCCTTGTGCAGGGGCCATGCTAATCTTCTCTGTATCGTTCCAATTTTTTCGTATGTCACCCCGAAGGGGACATTTTTGTGGTTCCGCGCAAGCAGCGTATTGCCACAGAAAGGCATTTCGCTCACTCGGCGGGTTGGGGAAGCGCCGCCCCGCCTCCCTTGTGGCCAGGAGTCGTGTGCTCGCAATGGGCATGTGGTGTAGCTCGCTTAGCATGTCTCTTTCAGAGCATACCCCTGCGAGAGGGGTCCGGTTCAATCCCGGACATGTCCATCGTTTTGGATCGTATCGTTACGACAATCGGTCTGCGGTCTTGAAAGTCTATCTATCGTATTGCCGGCTTTGCATTTTTTACATAATACCGTTCAACCTACCGTTCACTCATGTTCGTGCGACGAATCGTGCATCACAGAGTGACACTGCAGGAGTCGCCGTGCAGTACCAACAGCCTCAGCAGGGGCCATCTTGAAGCATAAGGTCTCCCGCTCTTCACATGAGTTATGATGATGCCACTTCTACATGGAGGAACTACGCAGTTGAGCTCCGTACATCACAGTTGATATCAAGACGGTTGTACCGCTACCATTCGATATGCTTCGTCACAGAGTCCGAATCGGCCTCTGAAACGGCGGTAAGCGCGATTCTTGGGATGTACGGGTGATTCGTGGCATTGCCGCACCGGTAAGCGAACACCCTACACAAACCAAGCCTGAGATGCACTCATGTCAAGTTGCTGACCTTCAAGCTGGGCTCCCCAATCGGAAGCATATAGCATAGACCTCAAACCTATGCCTCACATTACGGTTTATCGAAGAGCCATATTCCGACTCGGATTTCTCATGTAGGTGGAGCAATCTCAAGGGGAAAGCTATCGTAACAGCTCTCATCATGTTCGCCATGTCATGAACTAGGCTCCTGTCAGCTGTCTTCTGCCACAAACAGCTTGCTGCGGTAGCAAATGGACTCGAGCTCTGAACGTACTTCCGCCTTCCGAACTGAGTTCATCTCACACGTAGCCTCCTGGTGAACTAGTTTACTTCGCCACTTGATGGTCTTCTCCATAGTGGAGTATGTCACAGCCGGCTAAAAGTACTTGAAGGATATTGCCATGCTTGTATGAACTCCCCATCCCTGCCCACTTCAATGCTGGCTGGAGGCGTTGAACTTGGTGGATTGCCAAAGCAGGTGGCCGCACAGCCATCCGTTTTCTGTCATACTGGATGACTTCCCGTAAGGATTTAGAGACGTCTCTAAATCTCTAAACTTTAGATCCTTGCGAGATACAAGCGGAGCTTCAAATTGGCCCCACCTGCTGCCCAGCCTTGAGCGCCGGGAATGTGCAGCTTCAGCTGCTCCGGGGCGACGCAAATGGAATGTACCGCTGATGGCCCAGGTGGCTACCTTCCTCTTATGTGCTTGCGCCTTCCCTTTTAGCTCGTTTAGAGCAGTTTAGAGCGTCGCCGGAGGTTTAGAAGGGGGGGTCGACCCCCCCTTCCAGATGTTGGGCGCTTCTCTAGTCCGCAGCTCGCCGGCCCCACCTGCGGACTTTAAATCTCGCTCGGTATCTCGGCAGACCTGCCATTTCGGTGAGCTCCACGGCGCTTAGAGAGGTTTAGAGATTTGGAGACGTCTCTAAATCCTTACGGGAAGTCATCCACTATCGATCACAATTGTGGTGACGACTAATACAGGGGCATGTGGTGTAGTTGGTTATCACGCTCGCTTAGCATCTTAAAACGCTTGCGAGAGGGGTCCGGTTCAATCCCGGACATGTCCATTTTGCAGCCTGTCATCCTGGCTTGCGCTTGAATCCCGCGTAAGAATATTCGATCAGTCTCGCGCCATTGAGGTTTGTGATTCCTTTCCGAGCCCGTCCCAGACATCGCTTGGCAACAACGCCGGTGTCCGCATTTCAGCTCTGTTGATATATCTCCCGCCACATACCGTCCCGTCTTGCACGTTTGCATGACTCCCGCCGAGCCGTGGCCCGTCTGTCTGACCCGACGTCATCCATGAGCGTTCTCATTTTGGCCTCGGCTCTCGAACATGAGAGAACAGGTCGGACATGAGTAGACATGTAGTGCTGCCGCAATGTAAAGGTCACCTTGACGAGAGCCAAGGTGAGGCGGACCTTGCCTTGACCGGCATCTCGGCATCGCACCTTGGAGCCACCTTGACTTGACCTACCTCCAAGCTGGTGACTCAGAATTGCCGTTTATGGTAGGCAATCTCAAGGCAAGGTGGGCTCCAAGGTGGAATTTTCAAACTCCGATGACCTTGGAGGCACCTTTACCTTGCATTGCGGCAACACTATAGACATGATCACCCGTTGATCGAAGCAAGAATACCGTGGGAATAGAACTGTCTGAGACAACTTCAAAAGCTTGCGAGGATCGTTGGCGGCCTCAAGGTTTCTTGCCTTTTTCCCCCCACCCTCTCCTCGCTGCCACAAGCCGCTCAGGCGCGCCGCTCGCTGTTCAAGATGCGCTTCTCGCTCGCTGCCCTTGCTCTCCCCATCGCTGCTGCCAGTACGTGAACCGTGTTGACCTACGTGGACAAGGAACCTGAACTTGGACACCCTAGATGCGTTGAACATTCTCAGCCCTTCTGAATCCGCCTACTGGTGAGTCTCGCGGCAGTTGGCTCCCGCGATCACTTCTTCGTAAGAGCAGAAATATTGACCCTTCATGGTTCTCAGGGTTCAAAATACCAGCAACACCATTACCTGGACTTTCAACCAAGGCGACCCTGCTACTATCAATATCAACGTTGTGAACGGCAACAACGCGACACTCAACGGCCCGTTCTCAATCATGTCTTTCGTCAACGTTTCTGACCAGGTGCGGCTCTTGGCTACTCCGGTGTATCATCTGCTTGCTAACTCACACTCTTCAGACATTCACTGTGTGAGTACACTCGTACGATTCCAGAGGCATCCGCTCCACCAGTCCATCTGCTGCTCCTTTGCCGCGTCGAGGGCCTTGGCCGCGTGCTGCAAACGACAGCTGTCAGCTGGTCGTTTGGGCTTGACAGTCTATGACAGATCGCGGACCTTGTTCTTCCCTGGCAAGAATGAGCGATAGCTTGCCGCCCAGATCCTCGGATTGCGGGCTCTAAGCCTGTCTTGGTTGATCAAACCAGTGACTAACTGCATGTATTGTACAGCACGAACGTCACTCTGCGCCCCGGAGATGGCTACCAGGTCCAGTTTGTGAACACCTCGAACATCACCCAGGTGTTTGCCAGCAGCGCCAACTTTTCTGTTAAGCCTCCTGGCAGTGAGTGCTATTGTAAGAAGGTTCACAGTGCGTCGCTGACGAAAATGCTTTTCCAGCCACCCCTGCTCCCCCTGTGACCGCCTCCGCGACGGCCACGAGTTCTGGTGCGAGCGCTTCAGCAACTTCGCCCAGTGGCACTAGCGGAAGTGCGAGCTCCAGTGTTTCCGCTACCGGCGGTGCCAACAACGGTGCGCTGTCCCTGACTAGCAGCCAAGGCATGCTCGGTGTCATTGCGGCGTGCGGCATCGCGTCCCTCTCCGCCTTGCTCCTCTAAGAGCGTTCGAGTCCGAGCCTGTGAAAAGCCCAGCCACCGCCTCCCGCCCCTCTCCCTTGTGCAGCACATACCCTCCTCTCCCCCTACTGTGAGCAATGAACTCTGGCGCATCGCAAAGATCTGCGTGTCCACTTTCGTTGATTCGTCCACTCCTTTCAGACTCGGTTCTTGTAGTCTTGACGATGTGATCCCTCCAACTCGGGTTGTTCCCTCGATACCTGTAGGTATACGCCCTTCCTAATCGTCTCTTCTCTTTCAGGGTGCTGTCCTCGTGCATTGTAGTGTATGTAGCTTGTTCTGTTAGCTCACGCGCGCTACGTCCCGCATGTTCATGTACCCTTGTCAAATTGATTGCGCATTTCTACGAAGTCCATACCGATAGACATGTTCGATTCCACTCAGGCCCAGCACAACGACTGCGCACCTGAGCAGACCTTGGCGCGTACGTACCCCTATCACTACGTCGTACCCGAATGTCGGGACGTCGATTGGCTATGTAAGGAACGGATACTCTGCATCGCCGAGAGCGAGTTTCCCGCGAACGGCCCTTGGGACGAGCCACAATTCACACTCCCATTCGGGCGGCACCACGCTCTTCTCCATACCCGAGTCCTTGGTCTTGGGAACGCCAGCGGCGACGGCACAGGCAGCGCTGCTGCTCTTCAATGTTCATGTCTTCGCATCATGCCCCCACGATCCGCCAACGCCAACGCCATGGCCGGCCCAAGCAACGCCCAGGACGAGCTCACAGCGACTGTGTTCGGGGCAGTTGAGTCGCTCAGCCAGGTCCGGAAGGCCAACTTTCTCCTCGAGACGTCTCTCGCGCTCATAGAGAGCGGACGGTATGTGCTTGGCATTGCGCTGTCACTCCCTGCTTCGATCATGGCGAGCACGGCTAACTAGCGGTGGACAGATATGGCGAGGAGGTAGAGAACTATTTGGACGTCTATTTGCGCACTCCAGGCCTAGAGAGACAGGATGTGGCGAGGGCACTGCTCGCTCGGGGGAACGCACGCAAGATTGCGGGGGATAAGCTCTTGGCCAGGGCACAGCAGGATTTCCAGGCGGTGGCCAAGCTGGACCCGTCGAACCGCGAGTTGCAGGGGTATCTCAGGCGAAGTAACATGGTGAGTTTGCCTTGACTCCCGGCGTGGCGTGGCGTGGCGTGGCGACGAGAATAGGTGCGCCAGCGGATGAGCGGCGGGCTCCTTCCCCCAACGCACACTCTGGCTATATGCACGCTGAACTCTGGTCGGGTCCCTGTGCGTTGAATTCCGCCGAGACTGGGGTGTCCCACCGCACCTCAGGCTTTGGCAAGAAGACGATTTGCACTGCCATTCTGTGCTACCCGACTATCGGCTGACCCAACATCGTCGCGTTTGTAGATACATTTCGTAGACGAGCCGGCCTCGCAGCGCGCACCACCAGAGGTTTGGGAGCTAATCGCCCGCTTCATCCCGCGATACCATCTCCGCAGCTGGCTCTTTGTGTCTGCATTCCACAGGGACATAGCAGTGCGGCTGATCTTTCATACGATCGACCTCTACTTTGGCGAGGATCAAGACCTCAACCGTGGCCTGGATATCTTCGATAGAGTGAAAGCGGACCCAGTATTCGCCAGTCGCGTAAAAGCTCTTCGCTTACATTGGGCCTACGAGGAAAATGATATGTTCGACCTCATGACACGTAAGTTGCAGCTTCCCACTCCACCGACGCGTGCACGAGCTGAGGAACCCATCTCAGGAATGTTCAAATCCGCGTTGCCTGCATTCGTCGCTCTACGCGAGTTTGAATGGATAGGATACCCTGAGCTGCGAGCGGAGATGGTTCAGGCGGTACTGCAGACACACCCGAATCTGCAAACGCTCGGTCTCATCGGGTGGCACTTCGACGCCGTGGGGGTGGTATGTAAGCAGTTCCTGGGAGCGCCGAGCATGTTGAGCTGATGCGTTCATGACAGTCCGCATTCCGCGGTCTCCGCAAGTTCATCTTACGCGCTGAGGACGATGACGGCTTCGCAGACATGGGCGAGGTCCGGACAGTTCTCGACCAAAATCAGGCGACGCTTCGGCACCTCACGCTCGGCGCGTATTTGCAGCGGAACCACTCGTGGGACCACGCGTTCCAGTCTGCGACCATCCGCAACCTCACTCACCTCGAGCTCGTGGATACACGCATCTCGCACGTCGTGCTTGCGCGTATAGCTCACGCGCATCGGCTCGAGAGCCTGACTCTCCATGGCATGTTCGAGGAGCCGTGCTCAGCAAGCGTCGTGTTCGGAAGCGATCATATCATCGACGGCGTACACACGTTCCTGCCGCATTTGGAGGAGTTTCGATTCATCATGGTTGGCCACGACGATGATCTGAGTTTGTTCCAGTCCGTCACGCAGTTCCTCCGCCAACGGCCGAAGCTCCGCAGACTCGACCTGGGCTGCTGCCCTTGGGACCTTGCGCTGAGTGTCCTCCCTGACCTCACCAATCTTCGCGCCCTACGAGTCCGCATTGCGAACTTAACGGATGCATCGCTGCGCGCCCTACTGGATGCCATCCCCCGGACTATGCTGGCTATTCATTTAGAAACAGATGTGTCTGCCAAGCCTATCGTGCGTCTACCGGCTGCTGTACGTTTCTCATGCTGACCGCATCACATAGCATGATCACGCACCTGCGTTCTCCGTTTTCCCTGCTCTTGCCATGCTGCATCTGAACGGCAAAAGGCGGCGGCCCCAGCCAAACCTGCTATCCGACAAGGAGTTTCAAGTCCAGACGGAGCTATGGGCGACCAGCGCTCGGAGCATCGCTCGTGTGCTCCCTTCCATCGACTTCGTAGGCTGGCACGGCGAGCATTATGTCGTCGTTCGGGGCTGCGGGGACCACGTGGAGTTGAAGGAGCTGCCTTCTCGTCGGCGGCTAGACTGCGCGAAAGGAGTAGACCTGGGTAGCGAGGATGCGGCGTGGATAGAGAGGAAGGATCTGCCGATGGATTACGAGATGCCTGGACTGCAACAGACGTGAGTCTCGTGCTGTCCGCTGTCCGCTTATTTTGCTGTGTGTTGCTGTCGCTGCCGTTGGAAGTCCACTTGTAGAGCTACAGTGCATATTTGTATCATACTGGTCTGCAACTCGCTGCTCCTGAGCATGCCCTGGGCGTTACGGCACACCCCGCCCAACCTTTAGGTCCAGGTACGCTGGTTCCTTGTTCACTCTACAATACACCCCGGAC